TCAACGGCTCTGATGCTGATTCCTGTTTTTGTAGTGATATGGATAGCCAAACGATAGGTAGACAAGAAAGCGACCGTACGAGAAAACAGGCAGCGATTTAGAAATGGAGAAATATTTACAGGCACCCCTTATACCCAGACAAGAAGATCCTTTAATTTGGTGGAAGCATAATCGCTAGTATTTATGTTGAAAAAGAAAATACATTTTGGCCCGATAATTCGGAAATGCATCTTTTTATAACGAAAAATTTTAAAATTGTTAATTGTAATTACTAGTGGTATCTAACATTAAATTGGATTATAAAACTACAAAAAACAAATTTCTGAACTAGATTCTTAAACTGAATCTTCTGTAATCGAAATCCGGAAATCTGGCCGGATTTTAGATGGTATCCGGCCGGATAGTCGGATAACAGAAAAACGACCGGATAAGCCCGGCACATCCCTAATAAAAAGGTATCTGTAAGCCTAGCAATAATTTTTAATTAATAGAAAAGGCGAAACAATAGATAAACAACCGTGGAAATTGTCAATTTAATGAAATTAAGCGGTCGTATGTAGGTTTTACCTACCTATTCGATAATTAAAGGTTTGCTCATTAGTAACATTAGAGTTTTGACGCTAGGAGTGTACTCGTACGCCCAACTATCTAAAGTTTTAGAAAACTTTTACTGGTTTTGCGTTCTCGTACCCAAAAAACTTGCAAAGTAGGGGAAATTGAGAGAGCAAAATGTGAAAGAGAGCTGCGCCTAAAACACAATGGCCAGTAGTCATAGTCGTAAGTTAAAACTCATTCTTGTTAACCCATTTATTACCATTGTACTCGCCTGAGTACAGAAATAACATGCAATTGTTTGCACTACAAGTTTTATAATATGGTAAAACCGTTCTCTCAATTCGTCGGCTATGATTTTTTTTTTTTGAAGTTTGCCAACATTTTAAAATCATATAAAATTGAGAGTAAAAAAAGGAATTGTTCGAAGTTGTTGTTGTTTGAGATTGAAAGTGAGAATGTGTGTGTGAGTTTGAGTGTAAAATTTAAAAAATAAATTGCTTGCAAACGTCAAGAATTTTAAAATTCCTCTTAGCGGTTCTACCTTCCTATTTTTTGTATCATGATGGTTACAATCCATAAGTGCGCCTACGCAGAAAGAAGTTATACTCAAAAATTGTTGCGAATGTGGAATTTTAGACATCCGCGGATGCGAATGCGAACGCGAATATCTACAGCTAACATCCGCGGATGCGGTTGCGAATGCGGATGTTAAGTATTTTTAAACAACAATTAGAATCTAGCATAATGCGAGATCGTTGTTTAAACAGCGCTTACAAGCCAAACTAGATGTGTCAGGTTTTTCTAAAGCTTTTTTAAAAGAATTCTTCATTCTCATTCCTTTGGCTGTTTCAGAATTTGGGGAATCTGTAACGCCATCAGCGTTTTTGGATTTTAGTTTTTGTAATTCATTTTTAATCTTTTCTTCTGCGACTGGTTTGAACAATTTGTGCTTATAGCAAGCTAAATAGGAGCAAGGCGAATTTATACAAGGTGGTGTTACTGGCGAATTTAGATTACAACAACGAAAACCACATGTATTTTGTATTGCGGGTGTTATGTCAAATCTCAATTCGCTCCAAAGTTTACATGTATTTTGTTTTTGCTTTTGATGGGTGCCGCAGATTAGTGTTAACCAGACATTGAGTAACCGGCCCTAAATAGCAAAGAAGGGGCTGTTTTACCACAGAAGTTTTTAGGCAACTAGGTTTGTTCGATATCGTATCGATTATTCTGAATATCGATATTTCATGGCACGATAATCGATTTTTTGAATCGATATTCTAAGGTCGATATATCGAAGACATCGATACTTTACCCGCAATATCGATATTTAAGTTGAAATTTATTTTTGATCTACAAAAAAGTGTATGGGAATATACTAAAGTAGGTTTAATCAGCAGCTTGTGTGATTTATTTAGCTCTTAAGTTTGACAAACCGCTTTAGTCGACCGGCATACCGTTTTAATCCTCAGTAGATATACAAGATGGAAATAACACAATTAGGTGAGTTGACAGGCAGGTCTAATTTTCTATTCAATTGGGAGTAGGATTTTCAACATCGATTTTTCCGATATCGATATTGTTCAGCCCGATATATCGCCATATCGATTTTACATGCAATGAATTAAATCGATTCATGATATCGATACTTTCTTAAATATCGAACATTCCTATTCACAACCAAGGCGCATCCATACATTGATGCGCCTTGTTCACAACTCGTCTGAGTACTTTTTTATTTAGGACACATTTTCAAGAAGAAGGAACCAGCAATGGAAATGATGGTAAATAATGAATTGCCAAGTTCTGCATAAAACTCGGTACTGAAATAGATTTATATTTATTAGCAAGGAGCTTCGTTGCTGTCGCGTCCAGCAGACGAGTTTGGTAACGACGAGCTCGTGGAAGAAATGTGGGCATTAAAAGCAATGGATCATGCGGAAGTGTATTTTAACGTTAGTAATAATAAAAAAAAAAAAAAAAAAACTATAAATTAAATGATAAGTTGGGCCGCATTAATTCGTAATATGGTTTCTTTCGCTAAAGCTTCTGACAAGTGTGCATCCTTCATGTCTGCACCTAACGCCATATGATGACCAAATTTACCAAGTTTTTCGGCAAGATTTTCCTGATCTCAAAATAGAACTATTGACCGATGATATTTTGAAGTCTGAAGAAGCAAAAATTCACTGGCGCTTGTTTGCAGAGAAATTCAACAAATTGGAAGATTATGCTTACGGAACATTACTTCGTGCCGATGCTTCGAAAGAATTTACTCCAGAAAACTCACTTTTGGTTGTGCGCATTCAGTTTCTGGCTATCGAAATAGCAAGAAATCGTGAAGGACTTAATGATGAAGTACACCGAAAATTTCGTCCACCCCCACGTACGTTAGTTGAAGAGGTAAATGCCCAACGAAGTGGACAAGTGCAAGATGCATAGATCGTAAAATATATACAAATACAAATATTTTAATGCTAAAATACTAATTTACATATCGTCGATGCTTTTGCAACACCGCCCATCGATCAGTTTCAAAACCGCCTAAATCGCCGTTGTGGCAAAAATTGTATTTGGTAGCCCTGAACTCCAGGAATCGAGATTTATGCATAAAAATCGTAAAATAGGTATTAAAACAACAGATTTTGTAAAATAATAGCTAGAGAAGATACCGCCTATCAAGGCAATGCCTTCAAATAAAATCCGTTTTTTCGCTCCTATAAAATTTGAGTGCTGTAAAGCTGGATTTACCTGAGAAGATTTTCTAGGTGATTCAACATTGCACCAGAAAAGTCGCTCGTGTAAATGGTGATTCCAAAATCGCTTGCCTCAAAGTAGACGGCAAGTCAAATTTTGCAGCCGATTATTGCCCGTCAAAAATTTGCCTCATGTAAAGGCAGTTAAGATAGGCGGTTTTGATCGATGGGCGGTTTTGCAAAAGCATCGACGATATTTTCAAATACAAATATATAGTTGTACATTTTATATTTTCATAAAAATACATACGAATGTGCTTTAGATCAGACTGCCTTGCTTAATTTGTGAAACCGAAAGTCTAGAGGTTTTGAGGAAATGGAAATCGCTTAACCTTTCATTATACATATGTAAATTGTATTGTCCGCAAGGATCTAATATTATTTCAAGATACTATTGGCCCTATTATGTATAGCGACTGGTGTCTAGTTGCTGGTCAAGTAGCCATGGCCCATGGCTACCAGTTGGGCACCACAATAGCCCAACTTCGCTCTGGCTATTGCAGCAGGCTCGACTCATACCTGAGCAGAATAAATGAGGATGTGCCCAACCAATGCCCGGCATGCGGAGAGTCGCCACATGACTCACGGCACCTCTTCACATACCCCCAGAACCCCACCCAGCTAACGCCCCTGTCCTTATGGACAGATCCCGTCGAAGTCGCGCACTTCCTGGGCCTCCCCTTATCTGAAACAGACGACAACGTTGATGGATGAGCCGACCCGAGCGGGGTTTAGCAGCCGCTACAACAACAATAACCAGTATCTTACTTTGTATTATGTGTAGCGATTAATCTCAGTAAACAGAAAAGTGCAGACAACATCCGAATTTACTTCTTTGAAATTTACATTTCGAGTAATAGGCAACTTTGCTCCAATGTGTTCAACAATTTATGTTAACAAATAATAAAATCGTAATAAGCTGGAAAGAAAAAATTCCGCTACTAGCTATACTCAGTCGCTGAGTCAGTAGCCAGTTGCCATACGTAATGCGAATTTTAGTATATAGTTGCGTATCGCCTATCAGTCGCCATACATAATAGGGCCATAATCTAGGCTTCGTGGTATTGAAAATATCAGGCCGATTCTGAACAGAAACTCCCTGGGAGTTTTTTCTCTTTTCCCTTTCCTCATATCACGAATAAAAATTCCCTGACGATTTTTTATATTAAAGGGCGGAGTTGAGCTGTCAAAAAAAGTGTCGAAACAGCTTTTTTGAAATTAAAATTTCCTCCTCCCAAATTTTCGGGAAAATGCTACTCCCTGGCAGTTAATTATTGGAGGATTTCTTTCTCGGGAGAAACAAGTTCCCGCAGAACAAACTCCCCGGGAATATTAAGAATTGGGCTGTATATACAGTGTATACACTCTGTATTGCGATCCAAAAAGCCAAACGTTCGGATTCGAATACTTTGCATTATGAATTTGTATTAACCCGTGTCGCCTTCCGAATAGCCTCGGGTTTCGAATCGACCTATGTACATACTCATTGTGACTTGAAATAGAAAAAGCCGTAACTAACAACAAAAAGAAAAATAATTTTTGTTTACTGTGGTGCACTTAATGGAATACAAGTCCCCACATCGTTTTATCTAAGAAAAAGAAATTGTAAGTTACAGCTTTGCATTTCAGGTGACGATACATATATAAATACCAACTATTGCGACCATAGAAGCAAATAAAACGTACAAATACAGCACTCGGTAAATTTATTACAGGTGCTTTAGATATAACATGACAGATATTTAATACATATGTTTATGTGGATTATTGGATATAGAGGTTAAGAATCTGTTTTCAAATGTATGTTTTATTTATTACCAAGGAATTCGCAATATTTTTTCCAAAAACAATTTTTAAGTTTAACTGGATGAATTTTGCTTTTGCATATTTTCGCCAATTCAGCAGAATATAGTTGAAAACATAACATTTGAAATGTAAAAAAATGCTTTTTGCTTAGCGAGGGTGCCTTTTGCAAGATTAGGACATTTGCCATATTCGTCCTCAGTTAGCAATGACTTTTCTTTACAATAAAAATAGGATAATGCATATGATTAAAATATTATAGTATAGTCGTATAAATGAAATTACTATTTTCTTTTCCATTCAAACAAAGAACATTGGTGTTGTATTCATGAAATTCTCATTGATCAAGCGTTTGTTGTACTCCTCACGCAATGTTCGCCTTAATGGTGGTCTGTAATTTAAAGACATTAAAAGATAAATTACGACATAACCGGATGCAGCAGACGTTAGAGTTGTTTAATTACCCTTCGATATAAACACGGCCACGAGCTGCAACCAAATGGGCCAGGTAAGCTGGTGCCGGATAAGAAACTGCTCGATTACACCGCGGAAACATATAACATAAGTTGTTGGTCATCTTTTGTAAATCATCCATTGTCATTTTTGCATCGTCCACAATCACATTATAGCGAGTGGGCTTTGCAGTCCCTTGAATGGATTGATGGCTCACCATAAAGAACTGCGTCTCGCCCGGGTGCACAATCTTTTGATCTACCACTGTGCCGGGCAGAACGTTGTTCCATTTGTCACCAGTCGGCTTTGTAGGAAAGAAACGTGTATGATGGCGTTTGACCACTATAACGCAAGTGATTTTAGGTGAAATACGTAGCTGCAATTTGGTTAGAAGATTGTATTAGTATATGAATTGCAATTTTAATTGTTTGGAGCTTGCATGACCAAGATTTAAGTACTGTTGACTATTCTGAAGTACACTTTACAGTTTCTGAAATACATTTGACGCTTTCTGAATTACTCTTGGAAAAGGTGAAGTCAATTGTACTTCATAAACCAAAAAATGTATCTCAGATTTGTAAATTGTACTTCAAAAACCGAAAAATGTATTTCAGATTAGTCAATTGCATTTCAAAAACCATAAAATGTAGTTCAGATTTTTAAATTGTCCTTCAGAAACATATAACATTTCCGCCAAAAAATGCACTTACCAAAATGAGCGCTTAACCATGAATATCAAGTCGATTACAAGCAATTTTATGCACAGCATGTATGTATGTACATACTACATGTAAATAAATCGCATTAGATATAGCATTATGCTTGCAGTATATACATACATACGTACATTCGATTGCGTTTTGCATGACCAAGATGTGTCTTAAATAATACTTACTTCCTTGCATACGGCCCGTATAGCTCCTAGCTCAAGTATTTCGACCTTTTGGAACTGGCCATCAGATACACCATCGCGATAGTAGATAATATAATTGGGATAACGATTCTGCTTTTGGAAATACACTTTTAGGTGATGACGGATGATGCTTTGCATGTCAACGATCTCTTCTTTTGTTGACTCTTGTAAACGGTATTGCATGTTGTAACAAGCTCCATTGAGGTCATGTGAGGCGGCTACGCCTACCACACTCGGTATGTTACGTTGATCGGGTGATGGATGAGTGACATCAGCACCCAAGAACATTGCATGGTCAAGCACAACGTGATTATTAGCCGCGATTTTGTGATTGGCTCCGTTTAGTTTTGAATTCACTTTCAACAATAAATTCGATACCAACTGATCGTTTACACCACGATTTAAAGTCTGCTCTTTGATACACTGCGTCAAAAGACCGCAAACTAATTCCGCTTTTTGTTTTATATCAGCATACGTGGTGCCATAGCCAGGAATAACAACTACAACCAAGTCATAATTTTTCCTTTTATATTCTTCCAGAGTCTGAACAATATTTTTGGTTTCCTGTATATCTCTCTTCTCATCCAAGTTAATATTCATACGCTTGGCGCTATTATATAACTGGAGTGTAGAGTAGTTTTGTTAATGCATATAATAGTACATACATTGCTTGCTAAAATATATTCTATGGAAAATGTGTAGATGCCCATCTTACCATGCTTGACAAATCCTGTAAAGTGGCATGTCTTAGGAACCTTGACGGCGAGTATATGATAGCCCATTTATGACCGGTTTGCTGGGAAGCTATCCCGGTTTGCAAAAATGGTAAATTTCTCCAAGATCCGTTTCGGGGCTCTATGAACTTGCTCGAGCGATATTCAATTGATGGTGCTTTAAGCAATCTCATTGGAACAGTTATAAATCTATCGCCAATTCTAATGCCGAAGCCTTGTACAAGATGATCTGTATTATGCATAAAATAATGAAGCTTGTCCATAATTTTCCGCTTGCGTTCATCTGTAGAGGTGGCAGCAAAGCGGATCATTTTTTGAACTTGACGGCTGCCATCTTTTCTCTTTAAACAGAATTAAAGTTAACAGCATTTGTAAAATATGAGTATTAAAAATCCACATGAATATATATTGTTACATATATATGTACATATGTACATATATAAAAGATTGTGACTAATATTTAAAGCAAATATTTATTCAAGGTAGATGAAATTTTTTATTTTTCACTAAATTTTTGATAAGATGGTATACTTTTCGCTTTGATATTAAAGATTTTCATAACTTTTTGCTTTCCATGCAATTTTTTCGATAAGCGAGCTAGGAGTTAGGAATCGAGAGCTGCTAATATATCTATAATAATATTTGTTTCTTAAACATCGCACAACCAAAACGAATCCAATTTTTCTTAAAACTCTACTTAGAGGTGGTATTATTACAATCTACATAATAAGTACATAACGGCAACATAAAATATTAAAAAAAAACACAATGCAATTGATACATACCTTGAGGGCTTGGCCTGCTTCAATGCTACATAACTCAATCGGCAAATAATTGGGCTTAATTGTTGAGCCTGCCACCACGCAGGGTAAGTTAGGATATCTCAATCTGTAACCACGCCCTTCGAAGTATTTTTGAACAGTCAGTTTTTCGCCGCCCTCGAGAGTGAATGACAAAGTGGATGCGGACTCCCTACTAACATCGTTAACTTTATAAGAACGTGGCGCTGCGCCGAAAACAGCTGGTGGGGTATAAACCACCTTCAAGTTACGCAAGTGAGTACAAAGGCTTTGGAAGCTTCTTGGATCTAATCTGTCTTGTAAATTAATTCGTAATACTTTCTCCATATATTCCGTCAGGCCATATGGCATAGGAAATGACTTATGTGAAATGTCTACATTCAAATATGGCTGTTCACCCAATATAGCAGCTTGGTATAATCCAGTGTATAATTCATAACCCTCATCAAGATCCATTGTTTTAGGGGGGTCGCGTAAAATAGGAGCGACCAGCTCGTATTCCTTTGTCGTGACAGGCATTCGCTAAAACCACTTCAATACATTGTAGGGCCCGCATTGGTTTGTCAAAGACACGATCATTATGGTATCTGAACTTAAGTGAATAAAATATTTTTGCTATACGATATTTTCTGTTAGACTTACGTTTTTAAGGATCGCAACTCTACTTCGGGATTGTCCGTTGGTTTTATAGAAACTCTAAATTGTATTTCCCTATTACCAGAATCTGCTATCTGTGCGTTAAGGGAAATGTAAGAAGGAAAAGAGTAAATCATGAATAGACATCTCTCTTTGCATATCAATTGCTCAGTACCTTTACATCTCCTTCATAAACCGGGTTTGTTAACTTTTGTACCATATAACAACTCTTTACGCCATCGAATGCGACTGTACGACCGGGTAGAAATGTGTTTATGAACTGCTTGAAAGCATTTCGGAAGAATTTTTTGGGGCGATCCGGTGTAATAGTGACGTCGTAATGATACGCTACATCAGGCATTTTATCTAAGTTCAAAACCAAATAGTTGGTTTCTACTTCTCCTCTTATACCCAAAGTACCAGGCTGTATGCTTTTTTGCGATACAGATGATGAAAACGATGCTGTTGAAGAGGACTTGGAAATGCTTTGGCGTGGAGTATATTGTGGTGATGGAGTTTGAGACTGCGATGCTGCAGCTTGAGGAGCCTGCCTTTGCGATGGAGGTGGCCCTCCTACTTGCTTCGGAATAGATTCACGAGCTTGTATACTTGAAGAACTAGGACCCATTGCACTAGCTTGTGGCTGTTGTTGTCCCCGGCCCCATGCACCGAGGATGGGTTCTTCATGTATGAAAAATGTGTATACGAATTAATAACAAATTTAAAAATTTCACATTTAGACCACCAATGTAAAACTCGGTTTTTCGGCAATGCTATGGTGACCAGACGTCCTGATTTTCAGGACATGTCGGGCCTGTTCGAGGCATGTAATAAAAGCGGCAATACGGCAGCACTGATGCGAATTTGCAATAATGTTGCAACTTCCCAACTGATGAAACGTTGCTAGAAATTCGCACCGAACGTGATACTTTAATAATTCGCGCAACACTGCGGTTGTGATTGCATCTCGAACAAGCCCGTCTTGATTTTAGGGTCGAACTACACCAATCCAATTGTACTTCGGATATCGTAAAATGTACTTCAGACTAGTCAATTGAACTTTAGAAACCATGTGTCACCCCAATGCAAGTGCCAGTTTATATTATGTCGCTCATACATGTTTCACAATAACATATGAAGACACTGTCGAATAAATGAAATCAAATCATGCATCAAATCTATGCATGTCAACACAAGCAACACATGCGACAAATGCGACATAGTCAGCATTATTAATTACATTTTAAATACGGGAAGAGATTTTGTAAATTTTTTAAGCACCTATTATAGTAAAATGCATTAAAGAATTGTCTAATTAAAAACCTGTATATATTTTCATCCAAGGCAGGATCAAACAGTATTAAAAATATGCTACAGAAGCACAACAGGGAACAACAGCTTAGCTAAGTAGCAACGGCCTGCTAAAACAGTATGTTTGAGATGGAATGACATGGTATAACACCTTGTTTGAGTTGACATGACATAGTAATGCATGAAATTTTTGAAAAAGACATTTTTCAATGTTGAATTCTTTAATACATATGTATGTATTTACATAGTTCTCCTTTTGTAGTGCAAACATCTTTTTCATAAAGTTTGCTCGAGGGCTATATCACCCTCAGAGAAAAATTTACTGGTTATATCAATATTCTCAAAAGAGAAGGATTTGGGGCGAAGTCCCTACATTGGAAGAAGTGAACTGTAATGTTAAATGGATTGTAGAGCACTACTTCAACACCTGAAGTACATTTACAAAAGTGATGTCTGAAGTACATTTTACGGTGTCTGAAGTTCAATTGATTAATCTGAAGTACATTTTTCAGTTTCTGAAGTACAATTTACGAATCTGAAGTACATTTTATGGTTAGTGATGTACAATTGACTAATCTGAAATCCAATTAACAGATTCTGAAGTACATTTGACTAATCTGAAGTACATTTTACGGCTTCTGAAGTACAATTGATTAATCTGTAGTACATTTTACGGTTTCTGAAGTACAATTGACTAATCTGAAGTCCAATTAACGGTTTCTGAAGTACGTTTGACTAATCTCAAGTACATTTGATGATTTCTTAAATATATTTGACGCTATCTGAAGTACTATTAGAAAAGGTGTAGTGTTCTGACTGATTTTTCATCTGTCCTGATTTGTAAAAATCTGACGTTTAAAAATTTTTTACTGTAAAAACATACCGTTAGGGGCTTTTTTGTACATCGTTCAGATAATAACATACCTGCAAAACTCGAATGACCGAAACTGAAATACCAGTACATGATTTTTCTATTGTCACTAACACATAAATAGAGAACCACTGTCAATGTACAACTGGTTTGTTACCAGAACTATGGCGAATGAAGGTGCCATAAGATATGCTATCGAGCTTTATCCTTAGCATTCTACCTATTGTACTCAAAGGTGTTGCGCTTTTGTTGGCGACCTTGAAATAGATTTTCAAGTCTCAATTCTTAACATTGAGCGTAAAAACAATAATTTCAAAACTCAAGTCTGATGGAAAAGAAAGTGATTATGCTAACTTTTAAAAATGCAGTATCCTGATTTTTCCCACGACTCACCTGGTCACCCTAAGCGAAGCCCAGAAATTGCGTTTGCTTTTTGCGACTTACTTTGGGGTTGAGTGACTTGTTGTTCTTTCCCCCATCCCTGCTGCATTCCTTGCCTTGGTTGTTGTTGTTCCTGTTGTTGTTGATCCCTAGCCTGCTGCTTTCCTTGCCATTGTTGGCCCTTTCCACTGCCAGTTTGCCCTATAAAAGTACTTTTCAGATTATTTCCCTGAATACATAAGACTCGATTTCTGAATACTTTTTTACAATCCTGATTTAGAATTTTCTATATTCAACAAATGCTGTTCTTAAATGTAAGTTCAAATGCCTGAACAAATGTAAATGCGTCCACGAAATCTAAGATCCACGTCATTTTACTGTAAATGCATATGTACGAATGTTTTTACATATCCCCACCTGAAATGCAAAAAGACGTGACGACATCGTAAATGAAATGGAGAAAGTCGTGACTAATATTTTATTTTTTTTGTCATAAAATGATGTGTGAAGTTGTAATTCGATGAAATCCATAATTTAAATTATAAGTGAATTTTGAATTTTTTATTAGTTATGGCTTTTTGCATTTCAACGATAATGTTTGTTAAGTCTTTTTGCATTTCTAATCGGGTGAATTCCCCTTAAGTTTTTTTTGTATGCGAGTGTAGTATTTTTCTGTGTTCCTCCACTAAATTACGCATATAAGCGTAACCAGGGTATAATTAACTAAGACTCCCTTGCAGCTACATAGTTTAATTTTATGACATTATGACGCTCCTAACGAAACACTATAGATAATACACGACTTACCCTCATGTTGCGATGGTCCTTGTCGTCGTTGCTGTTTTTGTGACTGTTGTTCTCCTCCAGATTGTTGCTGCTGTTGTTCTCTAGGCTGTTTCTGCGGCTGCTGCCCCTGTTGTTGTCCTTGACGTCGTTGCTGTTTTTGTGAGGGTTGTTCTCCTCCCGGTTTTTGCTGCTGCTGTCCTTGAGGTTGTTGCTGCTGCTGCTGCCCCTGTGGTTGTCTCCAGGGTTGTTTCTGCTGTTGTGCCTGTTGTTGATGTTGCTGTCCTTGTGGCCTCTGTTGCTGTTGTCCCCAGGGTTGTTGCTGCTGTTGTGCCTGTTGTTGATGTCCTTGTGGCCGCTCTTGCTGTTGTCCCCAGGGTTGTTGCAGTTGTTGTGGCCGCTGTTGTCCTCGAGGTTGTTGCTGTCCTTGTGGCGGCTGTTCCTCTTGTCTTCGGGGTTCTTGCTGTCCTTGTGACCGCTGTTGCTGTTGTCCTTGGGCCCGCTGTTCCTGTTGTCCTTGAGGTTGTTGCTGCTGTTTTGCCAGTGGTTGTTGTTGTGGCTGCGCAGGCCCACCTGAAGCTGATCCTCCAGCACCTTCTCCCTTACCCTGTTTGTTCTCTGAGTTGTAGAAAAAATAGCTGTACATATGTACGTATTTCAGGCATACATCAAGATAACCAACCGTTCAGCTATAGAAAAA